CCTAAGAACTTGGTCAGGTGGCAGGTCTGGATGGCGCTTTTCTCATGATGACACTGGAGGATGTGTTTTGAGAGGATGGCCCTCAGAAGTAAAATTATTCCATTATATCAAGATGTATACTTTCAACACGACTTTTGATGGTTGCTATGAACCTTTATCATGTGGATGTACCCTTGTTGGTTGGATTTCTACATGATAAAGTTAATTTTTTTTGTTTCATGAAATACAGTTAACCAGTTTTAAGTGGACATTGTGATGATTTCCCCTCCTCATTCTTCTTTTCTTTATTCTTGGCAACCATCAACCTTTTTCCCCTTCAATATATGTGCTTATTCCAGATATTTCATATAAGTGGATTATAATGTATTTCCTTCTGGGCCTGGCTTATTTCACTTAGCATAATATTTCCAAGGTGCATCAATGGCATGGCACTTCATTTTTCATCAGAGTTGAATAATACTCTATTGTGCACATCTCAGCACCCTGAAAATTTGAACCTCAAGTCCCCTAAACTGTGAGAGAATAAAGGTTTGTTTGTGAAAGTCATCCACTTGTGGTGTTTCTCTTATAGCTGCACTAGATCACTAAGCCATCTGCCTTCCATGCTGATAACCCGGTCAAAACATGGTGTGGATGAGTAATGCTTAGCCCTGCCATCCCTTCTTCTTGGTTCATGAAGCATGCTTTCTCAAGGTGTTTTACCAGCCCTGGAGAGCTGTGCTTTGACAGTCTTCTTGGAGCTCCCTAGTGATATACTTCTTTTCTGGGCATCCTCCCACTCCTATGTTTTCCTTTAATGTACTGGCAGCCTTTTCTCGTGTATGTTTGGGGATTAGAAATGTCTCTAAATTGTATTAAACATGGAGCTTAACTTTCTGTTTCTCATTCTTTAGTTGTTTTTATTTTTTTTTTCTTGAAGGACAAAAGACTAGCCATATGGTTTCCCATAATGGATTCAGGAGGTAAGAGCTTTAGCTAGTGGAAATAGCAATCATAGAAAGTTGACTTTAATGAGCAAGAAATGTGAAGAGAATGGATAATACCAGAATACAAAATAATTTCTTTATGGTAAATTCTAGCTAAGTAAAGCCACCTGTATGTCTGGGTCTTGCGCCATGATCTGCATGAGCGGCAACATCTGGAATGCAGAACTGATGTGAACGAACTGCTCGTCCCACAGTCCTGGCCTAACCGGAGCGTGGGGATTGGTGCTGTCGGCTTCTACGTACGAGGGTAAGTGAAAAAGGATTGCTGTACAATCAGAGAAACCCTTTGCAAAACAAAAATACAGAGACGTGAAGTTGTTGTTTCCTGACATATCCTGTAGGTAGATCTGGACAGTTCTGAAAATGGTCTTCTCATCTCTCTCACTGGGTGCCAAGGGCCCTGCTCCTTCCAATTTCTATCACATTACAATGGAAACGTTGGCAGTCTTGAGGGAGTCAAATCATGCTCATTTTACATGTTCTGTAGAGCCTGAAGGAGCAAGGTCAGAATAGTCAGGTGCACGGGGTCAAGTTTCCCCGTGATGCTCTCGTGGGTGGCTCTTGGTATACCTGCAAAACAAGCCGGCCGTCATAGAAAGAAAGAAGCCTCAGCACAACGTTCCTGCCCTTTGATTCACCAAACGTCTTTATAATGCGGCCGCGTCGTGATTGCATTGTGTCCTTGAGAAAGCTCTCAAGGTTACCCCTTTGGGATTCAAGACAACATTTAACACGAGCTGACCTCTCTGCCTTGACTGTAACGCAGTAGGGTCCCTTGGAGGCCACTGGTTTGATGGGGCCTTTTTAAAAAATTGAAGGCCCTTTCACAAGCCTAAGAGACATATTATATTACTGACAGATCTTGTCTGCAGTCCGATCATAGAGAGAGACATGTTTAGCCATGGTTCCCCCCCCCAAGCCACCCCCACACTGTGGGCTTTACTAGAGAAGTTAACAGGTAACAGTTCTCCCAATCAAGACAGGCAGGACTCTCCTTGGTCCTTGGTCTCTCAGCTCCGCAGCCCTTTGGCCTCTGCCCCACTCAGGTAACAGTTTAAATACATTTTATTTGGAATAAATGCTTGCATGAATCAATTGGAACTCTAGTAGGACTACTTTTTGACTTACTCCCTTCACCCACTTTTCTGTTTTATTTTTGAATCTACTATTGCCTTTTGATGTACTGCACTTGATCTTAGCCAAAAGGCTGAGAAGCGATTTCCTTTTGAAGTGCTGATCTCTAGCCTACTTCATGTGTTTTCCATAGTCTTCCCCAGGCCCTTTATTTGGACTTGCTCTAAAGAGTCTACTGGTGCGAGTGTTCTTCTTTCCACTCACTACCAGTCAGCAGGTGTTGCTTAGCCGACTGGGTATCCGAGATCATGTGACTCTGCCTTCAAGGTTGCCGTCATTGGAATTATGGAGGGAAATAGAAATATGTGGTTCATTTGGCATCTGGAAGATTATCTAAATAATAAAAAGTTATGCACTTAATGTAAAATTGGAAATGTTCAGAGAACATTTGTATTTGGACAGCACGACGTGTGCCAGTGGACATCTTAAGGAGATGGGCTTGGGTGAAGGTCTGTTCCTTTGATCGCTGGCCCTTGTCGGGAGCTTCCCTGGGGAAAGTCCTCACACAATGCATGACCAAATACTATCTAAGTGGTGTGGTGAGGCAAAGAGCTGCGCAGAGATTTTCTGAAGCAATGGGTTCCTCTGGGTGCTTCCATGCCCACGAAACATTCTTCAAGTCGATGGGGGGCACTTCCCCTTTCCCTTGGTAACTGCGCTTCTCTTGCAAATCCTGTGGCTCCTTTTTTCTTTCAAATCTCTCTTAGGGATTCATTATCTTAGTGTCAATTTGGAGGGGTGGCGGATGATTGGAGCTGTTGGTGATCTCACACCTATCGGGATAGCACCACCTTCAACCACGTCGATTGTTTACTAGTACAAGGGAGCACTGAAGAGGTGTTTACCCAAGATCATAAGATGAAACAGAAGACAAAATACTGAAGGTGCAAGTAAAATACTTCCTTGAACGCTCCCTTTTAGACAGGAATATGTTAAAACATATTGCTTCCCGAAAGAACTACTCTGCCTCTTGGTTCCAAAAATCAAGGCGAGAATAGAAGTGGCCTGGCTGTTACCATGGCAAATGTAAACAAGTTCTTGCATTCCAAATTCCATTTTAATTACTTTAAAAAATCATTTTATTAGGGGCTCATACAACTCTTACCACAATCCATACATACATCAATTGTGTAAAGCACATTTGTACATTCCTTGCCCTCATCATTCTCAAAACATTTGCTCTCCACTTAAGCCCCTGGCATCAGCTCCTCACTTTTTCCTCTCCCTCCCCGCTCGCCCCTCCGTCATGAACACTTGATAACTTATAAATTGTTATTATTCTTACACTGTCGGACGTCTCCCTTCACCCACTTTTCTGTTGTCCGTCCCCCAGGGAGGAGGTTATATGTAGATCCTTGTAATTGGTTCCCCATTTCCACCCCACCCTCCCTTCACCCTCCTGGTATCGTCACTCTCACCACTGGTCCTGAAGGTATCATCCGACCTAGATTCCCTGTGTTTCCAGTTTCTATCTGTACCAGTGCACATCCTCTGGTCTAGCCAGATTTGTAAGGTAGAATTGGGATCATGATAGTGGGGTGGGGTGGGGGGGCGCAGGAGGAGGAAGCATTCAGGAACTAGAACTTGCAGGGGTCCTCAAACTTTTAAAACAGGGCGCCAGTTCACTGTCCCTCAAACCTGTTGGAAGGCCGGACTATAGTTTTAAAAAAAACCTATGAACAAATTTGTATGCACACACACTGCACATATCTTATTTTGAAGTAAAAAAAAAAAAGGGAGAAAAACACCCAGCAGGCCGGATAAATGTCCTCGTGGAGTGCATGTGGCCCGCGGGCCGTAGTTTGAGGACCCCTGATAGAGGAAAGTTGTATGTTTCATTGTTGCTACACTGCACCCTGACTGCCTCGTCTCCTCCCCACGACCCTTCCATAAGGGGATGTCCAATTACCTACAGATGGGCTTTGGGTCCCCACTCTGCACTCCCCCTCATTCACAATGATATTTTTTGTTCTGATGATGCCTGATAGCTGATCCCTTCGACACCTTGTGATCGCACAGGCTGGTGTGCTTCTTCCATGTGGGCTTTGTTCCTTCTCAGATAGATGGCCACTTGTTTGCCCCATTTTAATTACTTAAATTCTTCATAAAGATCAGTCTTCAGCGTATATGTGTTAGTTTTTATAATGTGTAAGGTACCGACCATTATGTACTTTCCAAATGAAAAAAAATCAGTTATACTAGAAAATTAAAGAAGAAATCAAATACACATTTCTTAAATAAAACAATATGTTGCCACATTCTTTTAAAGTTATCTAAAGTATACCATATGCTATATATCTTGAATTGACCTCATTTCTCCCCAGCATGTCTCTTTTTAATATACTGCATATATACTGTTCCATGTTCCAAGAAAAGATTCTTTGTCAAATTTATATTTGGCTCCTTTAGTGTCCAGACCTTCTGAGTGAAATCAGAATGGGAAATATTGTGACTTATTCTAAAATTATTGGAACTTTGGGAATGAAATTAGTACTCAATATAAGTAAAACAAAAATTTTGCCTGGAGTGCTTTACTTTTAATTTTATTACCCACCTAATTCATAAAGTTTCCCTAGTTTTTATATGGAAAAACCAAGGAATAGAATGGCTTACTGCATTTCAACTAAAAGGAAATCTGTAACAAAACACATTAAAATTAAAAATATCTTCCACCTTTAGGGCAATTATATCCATACGTATTACACAGGATAGGGATAAGTACTATTCCACAAATGAGACATCTTTTTTTTTTTTTTGGTTAGAGCACAACTTATATATTTCAAATGGACAAAACATTAATATCACTGTACAGTGTCTTAAGATAACTTGCCCTTGAATGGGAGCTTCCTGTCCAGTACTTTGAGCTCGACAAGACGTTGTCTAAAAAATGTACTACCGTGGAAAATGAAGACTGCTTAAATCGAATGGGGGAGGGGAGGGTCTGTGGTTTTTCTTGGTGATTAATTGCTGTCACACTGTCCTTCGGGCGGCTGAGGGAGTTTCATATTTTCTTTAGACATCATTAGGCGCCGGAGCTCTTGCAAGACAACTTTGATGCTGTAGGAATTCTGCCATTTTGCTAGCACTGATATGGCTCTTGGGTCTACCACTCCATTAGAACTATTAACTCCATTCATATTAATTTTTGTTACAAATCTTACAAAGGTGGGTGCTTCTGAGGATTTAGGTCCACATTCTATTTTAAGGCTGTATATCCGGTTTTCATAAATTGTCCGAGCACGTGGTGGCTGCCATCTTGCGTCGCTGTCGCCGGAAGGCCAAGAGACATCTTTTAAAAGACATCGCATGCCACATTTAGAATGATGAATCTAGAATGTAGAAGATCAGATCTGTTTTCTGAACCCGGTGAGACTAAACCTAGAACACGAATCAGCTCCGCTATGAGTATGGGCTCAAACCAAGCGACAAGTATGAGGATGGGGAAGGACGAGGCAGTGCTGTAGTCTGCTGTGCCGGGATGGCCGTGAGTCAGAGCCCACTCGACCGTGCCCAACCACCCCCACCAGCGAGTTGTCTTCTCCTCACAGGGGAAATAGGATTCTTATGTTTTTTATTCATCTAGTACAGACTCTTGGAGTTGGCAGGGGTCTCTTTTATACTTATAATTCTGAAAGATTACTTTTTCCCAAGCTATTTAATAGGGAATTAAAGAATTAGGAAATTCTTCCCCATTATTTAAAACAGACTGTTTTGGAGCTTGGTTCAGAAATTAGGAAACACTAATTGAACCAAGGGTTTCTAAACTATAACATCAAAGAACAAAGTCTCATTTAAAAAGAGTCTGCAATTATGATTGGGTGCTAAGCTTGGTAAATGCATCCAGGCACACGCCTACTTACATGAAAATGTGGTTGATTCATATTTAGGAAATGCTGCCTCCAGCCTTTTAGACGGACAAGGTACAGTCCTAGTTTAAAAGCTGATATTTTTAGTGAGCATTTGTTGTGCAAGTAATAGTATTGAAAATCTGTCCTGCAACACACAGAGAAAAGGGCATACAACAAGACAGATTTAGTATGAAGCACTATTAAGTATTTTGGAATCATTAGAAAATTCAACGAGGGATTACTGTGAAAAATTCCTTTTATTTGTATATTATAGTGTATGTGTGGCTGTGTGTAACACACCCATTGTCTTAGCTTCCTCGTGCAGCTACAACAGAAAGAACACAAGTGAGTGGCTTTAGCGAGCAGGAATTTATTCACTCACAGTTTCCAAAAATCACACTCACTGCCATCAAGTGGATTCCTACCCTGTAGGACAGGGTAGAACAGTAACTTTATGGGAGTAGAAAGCTACATCTTTCTCCGTCAGACAAGCTGTTGGTTTTGAACTGCTGACCTTGCAGTTACCAGCCCAACACTGAACCACTATGCCACCAGGACTCTCACTGCACACAGTGTAAGAAGCTCAGATTCTGAATTCAGGCTGTCAGCACAGCTCTGGAAGAAAGCCCTTTTCATCTTTCAAGTTCCGCAGGCCTGGCTTCCCTTGGAGGTCTCCATGGCATCAGTCCCCTGACAACCCCCCCCCCAACCCCCCGTGGGTCTACAGACTCATGGGCGGGGCCCTGGGTCCTAGGACACACTCTGCTCCCAGCTCCTCTTGCTTGGTGGTACTGAGGTATCGCTCCCTCTGCGGGGCTCTCCCTCCTGTAAGATTACAGGTGATGCAGGGATGTAGACAGGCTAAAACTTAAGGCTTTATTATTTGTTCTCCCTTTAAATGTTGTCCTACTTTTTAATATTTTCTGCTTTCTTTACAATTGAAGTTTTTCCCCTCTGTTTTATTTGTTATTGCTTTTGGCAAAATGTTCTGTACATGAAATTCACTGTAGGTAAATCTATAGAGACAATAACTGGATTAATAGTTTCTTAGGCTTATAGAAAGGGAGGTCAAGGGCAAACAGGGTGTTAACAATAAGTAAAAGAAAGAAGAAAATGTTCTAAAATTGTGGTGACGATTGCACAACTCTATTGAATATGATTAAACCATTGAATTGTATGATATGTAAATCGTATGTCAATAAAACCGTTAAAAAGAAAAAGGTGACACGGGACACACCTCAGGGAAACTCACCTTAAGTCAAACTAAGGTTTAAACTCTGAATAAATGTGTAGCCAGACTACTTTAATCCTGCCTCATTCCCATAGCACAAACATAATCTCCATGAACAAAACCTCATCCTACCTCATGAACACCTATTGTTGCTGTTGTTAAGCGCCATTGAGCTGCTTCCACCCATATTGGCCCTACGCACAACAGACGGAAACACTGCCTGGTCCTGCACCACCCTCACAATTGCTGCGACGTCCGAGCCCATTGTTGCAACCACGGGGTCAATCCAGCTATCTCATTGAGGGCCTTCCTCTGTTTCGCTGCCCCTCCACCTTTCCAAGCATGATGTCCTTCTCCAGGGACTGTCTCTCCTGACAGTATGTCCAAAGTCTGTGAGATGAAGTTTTGCCACCTTTACCTCTAAGGAGCACTCTGGCTGTACTTCTTCCAAGGCAGATCCGTTTGTTCTTTTAGCAGTTCATGGTACTTCCAGTATTCTTCATCAGCACCACAACTCAGACGCACCAATTCTTCGCTGGCCTTCCTTATCCAATGTCCAAGATTCACATGCATTTGAGGCCATCAAAAAATACCAGGACTTGGTCCTCAAAATAACGTTCTTGCTTTTCAGGACTCTAAAGAGATCCTGCGTAGCAGATTCACCCACTGCAACTCATCTCTTGATCTCGTGACTGCTGCTTGCATAAGCATGGACTGTGGATCGAAGCAACCAAAGCGAGACAAAATCCTTGACAACTTCAACTTTTTCTCCATTTATCTTGATGTTGCCTATCGGTTCAGTTATGAGAATTTAGGTCTTCTTCACATGAAGTCTTAGTCCAGACCGAAGGCTGAAATTCTTGATCATCATCAGCAAGTGCTTCAAATCCTCCTCACTTTCAGCAAGCAAAGTTGTGTTATCTGCCTATTGATGGCTACTAATAAGCGTTCCTCCCATCCTGATGCCACATTCTTCTTCATATAATCTAGCTTCTCTGCAGATTTGCTCAGCATACAGATCGAGCAAGTACAGTGAGAGGTTGCTGTTAGATGCCCTCAAGTCAGTTGTAACTCAGTGAGTCTCTGACTCCCTGGAAGCAGAAGGAAACATTGCCAGGGGCGGAGCCTTCAGGAAGAACGCTGTCACATTTGTCAAAAAGAATCTACCTGAAAGAACCATGCTGTCTGGGATAGGATGATAGCTGTATGACTACGAGGAAGGCCAGGTAGTAAAACTATTATTCAGATTTCTGCACCAAATTCTAGAGCCAGTGAAGAAGAACTTAAAGCATCATACTCACTCCTGTAGTTGGAAATTCACCAGCCATGCGATCAAGATGCGTAATAATTAGTGCCATTTAGAATGCGAACCTTGTAAACCAAGAGGAAGGGTCAGTAGCCGGAACAGAGGGCCGTGGTGATAGAAACAAAGCTGGAGATTGATTGATAAGATTTGGCAAGACCAACGACTTCTCCATTGCAAGTACCATTTTCAGCAACATATATGGCTATTAAATATTTGGAGCTTACCAGATGGAAAACACAGGAAACAATTCACTACATCGGTGCTAAGAGACAATGGAGAAGCTCCATATCATCAGCCAAAAGAAGACCAGGGCTGACTATGGGCCATCAATTGTTCATGTGTAAGTTCAAGTTGAAGCTGAAGAAAATTAAAACAAGTCTCTGAGAGCCATGGCTTTCCAATTTTATCTCCAAGCATTCCACATTCCATAGCTCTGGAAGTGACCACTAGTAAATCTTCTGTTCCTATGTATTCATTTGTATTATGTAGACTTTATATGAATGAAATGATTCTGCATGCACTCATTTTTTTGTCTCCATTTCCAACAAATTCTCCGGTGTTGAGTGAGTACTTTAGAAGCACTGTATAAAGGAAAAAGCTTAAAAGGGGATAAAACTTATTTAAAACAAGCCATTTTACAATTAAATGAAGCATATCCAGGTAAGTTAAGTACAGTTGAGGATTCTGATCAAATATCTGGCACCTAAATATTTGCCAATCTTTAAAAATAATAAATTAATGGAAACATGAATCTCATCTGTTTTTCTGAGATCAATTATCATTTTTTTCTTCTGTAATTGTGTGCATATTTAGAAAAGATAACATGATTTAAAATCTAAACCTGTGACAAAGGAAAGGAAAAAGAAAATTTATAACCAGATAGTAAAACTATCACTGATGAACATAAATTTGTTCTCACATTTCTCTATCCAATCATTTTAAAGATACATGTATCCACATTTCTTTTCCATGTATAGATATATTTCTGCCTTGAAATATGCAATATCTAACTTTCTAAGAGACGGTTTCAAATATATAAGGTGATACTTTAATAACTGACCACAGAAGCCAAAAATTACTGAAGGTGGTAAAAAAATGGCCATTTTGGGACCATCTGTGATTCATAGATTTTTGGATAGGTTCTAGGTTAGGCAAAATATTTGAACAGAGCTTGGCTTGGTTTGTGAAGAATTTTCTCAACATATTATGCAGCTATGTACTTAACATGAGCTCGTTAAAGTAGCTTCAACACAAGGTAAAGAATAAGACCTTCTGAGGTCCTTCTCTTTAAATAGCTAAACGTTTCAATTCATTATATAAATTAGTACCACGTTTGGGCTTTGGACTGAGGGGTTTGGAAGAAATTCTCTGTGAACTCTGGGGTCAGGCAGTTGAGGTGAAGAGTGAGAAATCTTTCACTAAAGCAGTTTTTTATTAGGCCCGTTTAATCACTGGTTTATAAAAGTACTCGGCGTTCTAATGAGCTAGCCTCCAGCTCTTTGTGCCTATTTTGTAGATATTGGTAGGCCTGTGACTTCACTCTTTGCGAGGCTAATGATTCCATATTAGAACGCTCTGGCTGCTAGAAAATGGTCTGTATGGCTTTCACTCGCTTTTTCTGGGCCAACTCGTGAGCCATAAAGAAACATCTAATTTCTCTCTATGGAACGATCTTCCAAATATCAAAGACAACATGGTTTTATTTTCATCAACTGGAGCTTTCCTCAGTGCATCCTAGGACCAGTGGCGTGGCTGGGGGTGTGTGTGGGTAAAGTATAGGGCTGAAGTTTAGTGAAAAAGAAGAAAACCTCCAATGAACTAGATTGTCGCCGTAGCTTCAATAGGAACTCCAACATAACAACAATTGTAAGGTTGGTTTAGGTTTGGGCAGTATTTATTCTGTTGTACCCATGCTGTCAAGGA